AGCAACTGTTCTAGGTACATAGTCAGCGATCTTCATATCATAGGTATATGTAACTCGTACGAAAACACAACTTTTTAAGGGAAGTCAATTGTAATAATTATGATGTAATAGTTTTAACTGAAACCTGGCTTAATAGTAGCGTAATGAGCAATGAGTTATTTGATGACAGATACGAGATATACAGAAGAGACAGGGAAAGTACGGAGTAGAATAAGGATGGGGGAGGAGTCTTAGTTGCGGTACTAAAAACTATCAAATCGGTTCGGAAGTTTGAATGGAAAAGTAAATGTGAAGACAGACAGACATAAAATAGCTATTTGCGGTGTACAGGTGGTCTGGTGAACAGGCTAATGTTGGAGTATTTTGTAGAAAATTGTACCTCAGTCTTAACAAGTAAATTTGATTCACACCTGTGCTTTATTGGTGATTTTAACTTAGGGAATATAAATTGGAGTTTGGTACATGATTTGTCGAATAACTATGTTGCACCTAGTCCAAGCTAAGCATTGACAGATTTAGTTCATCTTAACAAGCTTAATCAAATGAATAACATTCTTAACAAATCAGACCGCTTGTACTGACCCACCTATCATCATCCATGTGTACAGTAGCAGGACCAGTTAATATTCTTAGTGCCGTAGATCCTCTACATCCCGAAATATCTCTCGAAATATTAATGAAAATACTGATATTGCACTACCGTATAACATCGAAACTAAAATACACAATTTTAGGAAAGCCGATTATAATTTTGTGCTTTTGCCTTTGTTTAGCCGAATATGACTGGAATGAAATGTTTCATAACCTGAATGTTAATGAAATGACAAACTTATTTTATGATATAATTAATAATTTAATAAATAAAAATGTGCCCTACAAAAAAATTGAATTAATTCTTTTCCTCCTTGGTTTAATGTTTCATTAAATAGAATTTTACGTGAAAAGGAGAACAAAAGAAAGCGGTATAAAAATATAGGAATCCCATGGACGAGGTTGAGCTGCGGCTACTTAATAAGTGTTACTGCACACTAGCAAATCAATCTTACAAAAATTATATAAAGAGGACAGAAGATAGTATTAAGTCGAACCCTAAACATTTTTGGTCATTTATCAAGGCAAAGAAGTACGGGTAAAATAATTATCCTTTTACAATGACTGATGGTAATAAGAAGTCATCTAGTCCTAGGGAAATCTGCGACTTATTTGCGTCCTACTTTGGAGCTGTGTATAATTCACAAGATAACATAAACTCAGCCTCGAACTAACTGCTCCCTACCTTGGCAAGGATCAGATACTGAAGAGCATGAAGTCCCTAGATTATAATAAGGTCCCAGGACCAGATTGTGTCCCTCCTTTATAAAGACATGTGCGGATGAGCTAGTGACGCCTATATATCTAATCTTTAAGAAGTCTCTTCAATTCGGCCTATTTCCTGATGTTTGGAAGTCCGCTAAAGTTGTTCCCATTCACAAGGCCGATAACGTCGAGGTGGTAGGTAATTATAGGCCTATTTCAATACTGTCAACTTTAAGTAAAATATTTGAATCTCTTGTCAATCCTGTGCTACAGAACCACCTAAATAATTACCTTACCGAGTGGCAGCACGGTTTTGTTAAATTTAGGTCAACCTGTACCAATCTGACCTTGTTTACTGAAACTTTGGTAGAAGCAGTAGATGACGGTAGGGACGTTGATGTAATATATACATTGATGTAATATATACATACCTTAGTAAGGCATTCGACAAAGTACCTCATAGTATTCGTATATCTAAATTGCGTGCATATGGTATTACTGGCTCATTATTGGGATGGTTGCAGTCGTATCTGGATAATCGTAGTTTTAGTGTGGTCGTTAATGGTTTTCAGTCTGCACCATACAAAATTACGTAGGGGGTTCCTCAGGGATCACATATGGGTTCTCTGCTTTTCAACATCTTCATCAATGACATCCCTAATTGCTTTCAGTTCTCCATACCATTTATGTATGCCGATGATTTGAAAATGGTTGGCATCTGCGAAATTCTAGAGAACATCGAACAGACCGTATGGTAAATTGGTGTCGAAACAATGGTATGTACCTGAACATAAACAAGTGCTACCATATGAAATTCAGTAAAAAGATCAAGTTACTGAACTCATCATACAAAATTAAGGGCGACATCATTAAGAAAACAGAGGAAGTCAGAGAACTGGGAATAGTGTTCGATAAAAAATTTACCTTCGTTCCCCACATCGAGAATACTACAAAAAGGGCGTATAGAATGCTAGGATTTCTTTTGAGTAACGCTAAAGTCCGTGACTATGGGTGCTGGAAAGCACCCGAAACGTTGGGTATTAGAATTAATATAAATAAAACGCGATAAAATCCGTAAAAGTGGTTTTAATCAACACATTATCATCGGTCCCAACTCGCACGTACCTGCGCCGGGACACTTCAGCGAGAGCGATGTGACGGCCCGCCGGCAGTGGAAACGAGCTCAAGCCCTAGCCGATGTGTTTTGGAGAAGATGGGTTAAAGAATACCTGCCCCTACTCCAACACCGGCGGGAGCCCAGCAGCATAGGCATATCACCGAAGATTGGAGACCTGGTCATCATCTGTGACTCCAATCTACCACGCAAAATCCGGCCCAGGGGAAAAATAAGCAACATATATCCTGGCATCGACGGAGTGGTACGAGTAGTGGACGTAACAACTGGCAGTGGGCATGTACTACGAAGACCGACAAAGAAGATCGTCGTGCTACCAAAGGGATCGCAGCGTGGCGACGGCGGGAGAATGTGCACGACGCAAACAACGTGATACCTCGAACGAAATACATGCTTGTTGACACTGAACTGACTGACAATAGTTGAACAACCTAGGGGCGGTGGGCGGAGCCAAGAGGGTTACGACCGTCGCGGATCGACAACTAGCGGGAGTTGCACACAGCAACGCGGAAAACAGCCGCAGCTTAATCATTACATTTATATTTATGTCATTAATAATCATTACATACATATTTATTTATATTTGTTAAAAATATAACTTTATTTTCAATAATAAAAAGAATAGTGTTGTAACTATGCAATAACTCTCCCAATAAAGACACCGAATGAATAACGAGAGTTAGCATAGATTTGAAATGCAAATTGTTCTTATATCCTTTCTTGTATAATTACCTTTCATGTATATTACCATTCTTGTATATTACCTTTCTTGTTATTATAATATAATAAAATAAAAGTTGTCAAATATAAAGTTTAAACCTTTTTAATATGTAAAATAATTATTGTGTACATAATAATGTAATAAGTATCTATAAGAATATCATACATTTAATTCTGTTGTTAGTTTATAAGAGTTTTTACCAAATAAAGAAAGGCGCGGGGGTGAGGCAAGGGTCCGCTGGCCAACAGCGGCCAAATCATATAAAAGACGGGCCGGTCGGTAAGGTCGGCAGTCGCTCTCCAGCCACCGAAAAGGCAACAAACAGCAAGAAAAATTACAAGGTCCTCCTCACCGCTTGCCTCCTATTTAAGCAAGACCAACGCGTTTCATTCATTTTTCGCACGGCGTTACGGCGATCCGTAATATGTTCCATTGAAAATTCCTCGCGCTACCATCACTCCACTTTGCCCTTATAAATTAGCTTTAGCCTGGTCTGAAACCAACAAATAATAATAGTTTTTTTACCACATACTTATTTTCATTAGGTTTTTATTAGGTAATTATACTTCGTTTTATTCGTATTTATAATCTTTCTCGGTGCATGTGGTGTTTACCTTAAACGATTGGTACTCTTAGCTACGTAAGTTAGTGCTATTTTGTTTAATACAGTGTAATCAAACATTGGAAACCTTAATAAATAAAAAAAGCAAGAACAAAGTACAAATAAACTATGTACAAAATTAAAAAAAATTACATTCTAAACGAATCGTCTCTCTTTCAGGAAAGATTTGATTATGTCCGCATAACATGTTGATGAACGTTGTAATTAAACGTTTAATTGTAAGTTTGAAGATTTTACCTTTTCCTCGCCGATTATTACTTTAACACACTTCAATTCATCACAAGGAACACTATTATCCTCCATTTTCACTAAAAATCTTTAAAAAAGCATAAATTTTCAACGTGCAATATTCATTCGCTCAAGTAAACATTAAAATGTGAAGTGAACTTGCAAACGTATCGCCCGCGCGCCCTCGCGCTCGACTAACTTCACACCGAAAGTCCGGCTTATCGCTCCATACTAATTGCTATATAAACAATCGTAGTTTCATAGCACTACAGAACATTTTGCCACACGTTAGAAAGGGAGCGATCGTCTTCTCGAAAGCCCGGTAAAAAGCCCACGCGTGCGGAGAGACGACTAATCCTCCTTTTTAATGACAGTAGGATCGCGCAGTTTTGCCGCGACCTGGGTCCATCCATATTGCTTTGCTTTCATTAATTTTGACAGTCCATTGCGTGTTCGCTTTGAGACAGAGAACACGAATAACTGTATTTGTGTCATGACCTGTGTAGATCAGAGGAGCGCGCGGGAAATTTGAAACAGTTTACGAGTTATTAGTTGATTAATGATTGAGCAGTTTGATAAGACAAGCCCGGCTTCTCGGCTTCTATGGAAGCTTCGCCACTGAGAGCCAAGCTGCAGCTATATTATAGTTGTTGCACGAATGGGTCGGCTCGATAGGGGAAGAACCACGCTCTCACAGAATACCAGCGCAAAATAGCAGCTTAATACTGATGTGTTTAGTATAGTAAGTGTAGAGATCCGGGGACACTTTTTATTGGAAACGAGGCATTCCATCTTAGTCCTCAGGGACAACGCATCTGCGTTTTGATTCTTAATAGTTGGTAAATAAATGTAGATGATGTCTATGGTCCGCAGCATCGACTTAATATCAGGTGGACTGTGTGCTCGTTTTTTACCCTTATTATATAAAAATTTATATGTGATTTGTGAATAGAGACACCACAAATAAAAATGTACCTAAATTTAATTTTTTGTCGCAGTTATGGGAACGCGCTAAGTTAGAGCCAGCCGTACCGCCGCCGTGTCATCTGTCATGGCTGACCCTTGCCGCATGGCCAGCCGCCGCTATTGTTGGTCTAACAGCACAGTTTGCTCTCACAGCTACTGGGATTTATCACGAACAAAGTGAGTTATAGGTTACTGTTGCTTGACAGCTATTACTTCTGGGAAATGATGATTCATTTGTATAAATATAATAGCAATGATATATAAGTGTTTTTACGCTCTATATGTTCTTAACAATTTTAATATTACACACATTAACATTCAGAGTGTTTCTCGCCACTATCTCGATCTACTAGCATCCATAAACAGTACACATCTTTATGATTTACTAATTTCTGAGTCATTTTCAAAGCCATCACTCTTTTCTACGAGGGCGACACTGAAAATTTCGGGAATCAAGGAAGTGACACAACATTACTAATGTACCCCGTAACACAGGTTTTACCAACCCAGTACAGGGGCCCTTGCCACTTGTTTGTTACTACCTTTTGAAACGCAATAAACAATTACTATTTAAAAATGTATTTATAGCTTTTCGAAGTATCCTCCGCGAAATTTGACACACTTTTCCATACGATGGAACCAATCATTGAAGCAACCATTCCATTCGGAAGTTGGGGTCTCCAAAATGGCCGTTTTGTAGGCGTCCACAGCTTCTTCAGGTGATGAAAATCTCTGTCCATGCAATTTATTCTTTATTTTAGGGAAAGTATAGAAATCATTAGGGCTTAGTTCGGGGCTGTACGGCGGATGGTCTAATAATTCTATGTTTTCTTGCTCTAAAAACTCTTTTCTCTCTTCGTGTGCGGTGTGAGAACTCGCATTGTCGTGATGGAGGATGATGCGGCGGTTGCAGTTCTCTTTACGGAGTACAGAAACGACCTGTGGCAAACAAATGCTAGCATATACCATTCTGCATTAACCGTTCTTTGTCCCTCAAGAGAAATAGTCGTAACATGGCCGGTTTTGGAGACAAACGTGGTCACCATTTTTTTTTCAACACTCCGTGAACGAACAATTTTTGTTGACTAACTCATTTTCGAATACCCAAACTCGTGACTGGTTTCTTATTTCGGGTTCGTACGCGTATATCCAGGATTCGTCACCTGATACGATGTTGTATTCAGCATTTGAGGATCCTGCGTGGAATCTATCTTTCGAGAGTTCTGACGCACCAAGTAACGCGAGCCGCTTTTTGCTCTTCACAGAGCGAATGCGGTATCCACCGGGAAAACAACTTTTTTACACTTAATTGTTCATGCAAGTTTATTTGTATTTGACTCATGCCAATGTCTAAAGTTGCCTGAATTTAACGGTATGTCACATGTCGATCTTCCTCAATCAGCTTACGCACAGCATCAACGTTTTCTTGGGTGACTGCAGTTTTTGGACGACCTTGACGGGGATCATCACTGAGCTTGACACGTCCACGTTGAAATTTAGCAAACCAGCGATAAATTGTGGTTTTGGATGGTGCTTCATCACCAAATGCAGAAATCATCCGGTCAACACACTGTTTTTGTGTTAAACCACTTCGAAAGTCATAATAAATCATCGCTCTTGAATTTTCTCGAGTCAATTCCATTTTCTCAACGACTAAACAAGTTTGACAAAACCTTGTGACAAGACCGAGAATCTTTTTTTTAAATAAATAAATGGTATTCGATTTTTTTAAAACCAAGGAGTTTTCAATTAAAAAGATTTTAATATGACAGGAACAGTGGAAATATTCCATTCTCGATACTTTTAGTGCAGCCTTACGTATACAGTTTGCCTTACCTGGTGTTGTCCTAATATGTAATGATAGGATAGGAAAAGGTTATGATGCGATAGCTATATACCTCCGTTATGTTATATTTTATGAAACAGAAACAGAAACTTTTTTATTCAATATAGATTATAAACAATACTTATTGAAAGTTAATTTTTTCATTTACCACTGGTTCGCAAAAAAACCTCTGTCCTGGGAAGCACCAGCAAGAAACCCAGCGGGACTATTTTTTTTTTCAAATAATAGCTTACAATCATGTTTACAATTAACAAGATATTAACAGTTAACAAGATAAGATTATAGGATTATATATGCCTTTTTTCTATTTACTCTCAAACTTCTGAATATATCTCTATCGAAATAACTCTCTATCATGTAATAATGCTGTTGGTGGTCCTTTACAGTCCTAACATGTACATAGATTATTTCGATACGCTTGACATAATCCTTTCTGATTTTAGTCTCCTTTCCGATCATATAATTCTTATGGAAGATCAACACATGCCTTATTGAAAAAGATACTCGCTCCATAAAACTTCTGACTTTGGTATCTTTCTTTAACCTCCCCCTTCGTGCAACTTACACTTCCCTAACTGTAATCACTTTTTGCTTGATATTATGATGTTTCTTCTCCTGATATAGTTATGTCTCGTGTGCAAATTACTGTTTCTTTTTCATATCATGATTACCTCTCTTATTATCTCCGTCCACTTAAGAGAGAAGTCCTAATTCTTGATTCTTCGTAATTATAAGGGTATAGATCTGGAGTCATTGCAGCGTGATATGAGTAAATTCATTGAACATACTAATATTAATGATAAGTTTTGTAACTTTAATGGGTGCGTTTGGCAGAAAAAAGCGCTAGCAAGCGCTTGTAAGCAAAATGGCAATCGTAAGCGGTAAGCGCTGTTAAATCGTAAGTAGCTAGTTTACGATGTTAGTTTTAACCGGGGAACCTAACCTAATTTAAATATATGTTTGTAAAGTATTCATATTAAAAACTTACCAATCATGAATTTTTAATAACATGTATATGTCTATTCATGTCATTATATTACTTAAAACTAATATTGCACAAAACAACTTATAATTTCTACTTCAAAACAAACAAATTAAATAAGCAAAATGACGGATTGTGTCAGCGCTACTGAAGTAGCAATCGTGTCCTGGCCGAAAACTATTGAAACTGAATATGAAAAAAGCACTAGCAAGCGCTTGTAAGAGCTTGCTAGCGCTTTTTTCTGCCAAACGCACCCAATGTATTAGGTCGTTACCTATGAAATTGCCGTTTTTTATGATTTTAAGGTATTTTTTTCTATATTTTTTTATTTTTATTAATCATTGTGATAATCGCGTAAATCGATGCGCGATTGCGTGGGTTATCACAATGATCTTTGCAGTGGCTGTTTATTGATGCCCTTCACGAAGACATCAGCTAGACGGGAGGCAACAAATTCTTCAAAGGAGTTTTGTAGCCTGTCGAGTATTGAATTTTTTTCCCGCCAAAAAGTTTTCCAAATTCTAGGAAAAGTAGAAGTCTGTAGGTCTGTAGGTCTCATGAGTACCACGGATGACGGAGAGCTACGAACCCCAGCTCTTGTAACTTGGAGACCGTCTGTTGTTCAGTATGAGGACGCGTGTTGTCGTGCGAGTGCAGCAGAGACGAGCGATTGACCAAAGCTGGTTGGAGACGTGCGAGCTTCTCCATCATTGTGTTCAGTTCTTCACAGTACATATCTGCAGTAATGTTCATCCCGTTTGGTAAGAATATGTGATGAATCACACCGGCGCTAGACCACCAAAGAGTGACCATTACTTTTCTAGGGCGAGTTTTCGTTCAGGGCATTGTTAAGGTGCTAAACCATAATCCAACCAACTTGCTGTAAAGTAAATTGACAGCCTGTATACGTCCCACTGCTGGGCACAGACCTCCCCTCATTTCTGAGAGGGTTTTAGGGCAAGGTAGTATCCGCCGCGCTGCCCCAATTAGTGTTGGCGAACTTCACTTGTCTTCGAAATATTTTTTTCCTTATTCCTCAGACATGCAGGTTTCCTCACGATGTTTTCCTTCACCGTCGAGCACGTGGTAAATCAGCACTTAAAATTGCAATTAACAATTTCATTGGTGCAGGCGAGGATCGAACCCGGGTTACTCGCCTTCTGTTATATTTATAGCGAGCGTTAACCATCTGAGCTACCACGGCTCTTCACCAACTTGCTGAGCGCTTGTATTTTTCGTCACAGGTAAAAATGCGGCTCAAAATTCCTTTGTTTGTGTGCCTGTTGAACAGTGTAGGGCACGTCTCGACGCGTACTTCGCGCTGGCGATCATTGAGTTCGTGGGGCACCCATTTGTCAAGCTTTTTTACCTTTCCAATCTGACTCAAATGGGTCAATATTGTTTTGATTGTAATCGAAAGCTTCTGCTAATTCAGCCGTAGATTGAGTATTATCTGCTTCCACAATCGCCTTTAATTCGTCATTTTCGAGCAGTTTTCGGCCGACCACGGAGCTTATATTTCAGGTTGGAAATTCCAGAACGGAAGCAGGCAAACCAATAGCAGGTGGTGCGTTGCTTTTGTAGTGTTTGCTCCATAAACGTTGTTGATATTGCGTGCCACTTGTGTTGCAACGACGGTACTCGTATTCCACAATTACTTGAATTTTTCAATCAATAAACAAATGACTAATTTGAAATTAGAATTCTTAGCCAAACAAAAAATATTTTCATTTGGCAGGTATTGCAGAACGGTAATTTCATTTGTAAAGACCTATTATTAATATATAACGTATAAAGGAGGCTCCTTGCCCGGGGCTCGTGACCTTGTTCGCAATAACCGGGTGCGGCGGCTTGGCTTTTGTGCTCACAGTGGCCACCAACATTTGCGCGTTTGGGCTTTTTTGCAGAAGTGATGAAAGATAATTTTTTTTTTTATGTAATGTTCTTACAGAAAATAAGATTTTTACAACTACAAGTAAATAGGTGATGGTGTGCTCACCGCCATTATTATTAAAAAAAGGGAATAGTCACTGGGCACTTAAATCCATACATTATGAAAGGGGATTATAGAATATACTATAAGGCATTATACCGCACCACTGGAATTGTTAGAATATCTGGTGGTGATTTACCACATGTTTGGTGGGTAAAAAAAACGCCTGCATGTCTGAGATTACAAATAAGTGGACGATTTCCCGCTACAAAAACCATCCAAAAAAATGAGTAGAGGTCTGATGCATGCATTTTTATTACTTTTGTTAAAAATTAATAAGATTGGATCCATATCATAATTTTATTTAACAACGAAAGTAATAATTGAATAGAGATATGATAAAGATGCAATATATATACATATACACACACACATATATATATATATACACATATATATATATATACATATATATAAAGGATATTTTAAATATTACATGTTAGGTATTTAATTTTCTTATGTCGTTTAATGTTTATTGTTTTAGTTTTTTTTTTTTAATTTGACCATGCCATATGAATGTATATGTATTCCTATGAAAGCTGAAGTGTACACACATCAAATTTTATTGTATTTTATTTTAGGTATAAATGCACAAAAGCGTCGTTTGAAGTCACAGCCGGCGCGGCCGGTGACGCGAGAGCAACGTGCTGAAATGAAACAGCGCAAGTATCGTTACCTATACCAAGTGCGAACCGCACACGGAGACGTCATATCGCAAGTATGTCATCAAATTATCACTACACTCATAAAAAGTCCAAGTCTAAATATAGACTTCCTTCAAGGAATGCCATAAAGCATGACCCTAAGCCAACAACACTGCTTATATAGGTACATGGCTGCCACTCAAGATATATTCTTTTCTATCGATATTCGGTTCTTCAAGCTATATGGCCGGCCATTTGTCACTTCAGCTTACTAATTTATTATAAAAAATAAAAATATAAATTTCTTCGCAACCTTCCGCTAAACAAATACAATGATGTGTCTTACCTGGATTGAAGAGCACCTCCCGGCCTCCCTCAATTGCATGCACAGTTAGTGCAAAGTGATAGTGGCAGTTCTACTTTCATCCATCTCTCAGAGTTTCTTGTCTCGCAGTTTTCTGATGTCCCTAACAACTTCAACGTTGTTCATATAAATGCACAGAGCATTCCGGCCCACTTCCCCGATATGCTGACGACTTTTAATTGTAATCATATACATGCTGTTCTTATTTCTGAATCGTGGCTGAAGCCATATCTTCCCTCCACCTGTTACAATCTTCCTGGCTTCCAATTAATTCGAAACGATCGCTTAGTAGGTGGCGGTGGAGGTGTTGCCATTTATCTACGTTCACACATTCCTTTCACTATTGTCGATATGTCTGCACAACCACCGCCGCTAAATGCCGGTGAGCATCTTTTCATTGAAGCCACACTATCACACTCAAAAGTTCTTCTTGGTGTTTATTACTGCCCTTCTATGCGTATTGACTTCTTTAACTCATTCCAAAACATCATTGATAAGCTTACTCCCTCCTATTCACACACGATTATTATGGGTGATTTTAACACGTGCCTCCTTAAACAAGATACCAGGGCTTCTTCTCTTCAGTCAATCGTATATTCTAGTAATCTCTCTATTTTACCACTAAATGCCACGCATCATTTTCCAAACTCGAATCCCTCTCTCCTTGACCTTATTTTAGTTTCCTCTTGCAACTTAGTCACGAAGCACGGCCAATATGCGGCCGATGCCTTCTCCTATCATGACCTTATCTTTCTATCCTATAATACCCGATCTCCCAAATTCAAACCAAAAATTCTACTGCAGCGTAATTTTGGTGGCATGGATATAGACAGTCTTCAAAAGGATGCGCTACTTTGGGACTGGTCAAATATTTTTAACGCAGATAACCTAGATAGTAAAGTTTCGATCTTTACTTCAGCCCTTATAAAAATCTATGATGTTCATGCACCTGTACGCGCAGTCAAAATTAAACATCGTCCATCACCTTGGCTTACCGATGATATTAAACATATTATTAATAAAAAAGCGATAGCTAAGGCTAAGTATAAACGTAACCCAAATGCGTTTAATAGGGAAAAGTATATTAACATTCGCAATCACTGCAATAAGGTGTGTAGGGATGCTCAACGCCTTCATATTCATAAGTCAGTTGAAAATGGGGATACAGCAAAGGTCTGGAAATTTCTTAGATCATTGGGTGTTGGGAAATCTAAGAATACTCCAACGACAAATGATTTAAACGTTAATCTTTTAAATAAACATTTCTCTTCTTCATCCTGCTTAGATAGTACTGCTAAGGCTAATACACTAACATTTCTTTCAACTATTCCCACTCCCAGTCACTCCTCTTTTATTTTTAAACCATTCACTGCTTGTGCCGTTGAGAAGAGCGTTTTATCTATTACTTCCAATGCAGTGGGAAGTGATTGTGTCAGTCGTAATATGATTCTTCCTATTCTTGATATTATTCTTCCTATTATTTGTCATATCCTTAACTTCTCCATTTCTACAAATAGTTTTCCATCATCTTGGAAAAATGCTGAAGTTATTCCTATCCCAAAGAAAATTAATCCTGCGTCCTTTTCTGAATATCGTCCCATCTCTTTACTGCCCTTGTTATCAAAAGTCCTTGAACGCCTGGTTTATATACAGTTCAACAGCTTTCTTTGTGCTAATTCTCTCCTTAATCTTTTACAGTCAGGATTTCGACCTGGACACAGTACTACCACAGCTTTGGTGAACATTACCGATGACATCCGATTAGGAATGGAACACGGCGAAGTAACTATTCTTTGTTTATTAGATTTCAGTAATGCCTTTAATACCGTTGACCATGATGTCCTACTTGGTATAATGCGCTCTCTTAACGTATCTCCAACAGCGATTGTTTGGTTTCGAAGTTACCTGTCTGGACGCCAGCAACGTATACGCATCGATGATACATTATCATCATGGTGTAACGTATGTGTTGGTGTGCCGCAGGGAGGCGTTTTATCTCCTTTACTTTTTGCAGTTTTTATAAACTCAATATCTAATAATTTAACTTCTTCCTACCACCTTTATGCAGATGATCTGCAAATATATACTAAAGCTTGTCCCAACGATCTCCCCAATGCTATCAATGTCATTAATACAGATCTCGAACGAATTCTCGAGTGGAGTAAAGCATACGGCCTTCACGTTAACCCAGCTAAATCACAAACCATTATTATCGGTAGCGCGCAAATGCTGAATAAGTTATCAGTTGATCACCTACCCCAAATTGTATTTAATAAAACTAATATCCCTTACAGAGATTCAGTGAAGAACTTGGGGATTCACATAGATAAAAATCTGTCATGGGACCATCAAATCAAAGAGATCCACCGTAAAGTTTATGCCTCTGCAGCCTCCTTGCGTAGATTACGTAACTTTCTTCCAATATACACCAAAACTGTGCTTGCCAAGTCCCTTCTTTTCCCTATTTTCGACTATGCGGACGTCAGCTATCTAGATCTCACCGAAGCTCAGCTTGATAAACTTGAGCGAATTCAGAATTTCTGTATAAGGTTTATATTTGGATTACGTAAATATGACCATGTCTCTCTTTTTCGCACTAAGCTCAAGTGGTTGTCGATACGTCTTCATCGGAATGCTCACATACTTCATCTTCTCTATAGTATTCTCTTTAATCCTTCTTACCCTTCTTACCTCAAAAATCGGTTTGTGTTTCTTCGTGATTCCCATTCGCGTAACTTGAGATCAGCAGAGAGCTTGAAATTGTATATGCCACTACATACTAGTAAATTTATGAACAAGTCTTTTACTGTACAGGCCGTTCGTTTATGGAATGAACTCCCATTGGCAGTCAAACGCGCTCCATCCCTACCGGTTTTTAAAAAACTAGTAAAGAACCATTACCTTGCACTTCGCTCCCACACTAGTCGTTTAATATAATATAATATAATATAATATGAGTATATGATTGTTCTTTTTAATATTTATATTTTTTGTATGTATATATGTTTGTAGTCTATGTATGTTTTGTTATATTTATATATATATATATATGTATTAATGTGTGTATGTATGTATATGTGTATATATATGTATGTATATACATATATATATATACATATATATATATATATATATATATATATATATATATATATATATATATTGAAATGTGTATTCTTTTTTTTTATCACACCAATGTGCCCTACCCTTGTAATTTTTGTGTAATCCTGTCCATTCACTGGTTGTCTGGAAGAAATTGCTATCAGCAATAAGACCGCCCATTGCATACTTCTTTTGTATATATAATTAGTAATTTTTTTTTATATATGGTGTGCAATAAAGAATATTAAATAAATAAATAACTCCGTCACCACTAGTCCCAGCACCACTACTCCCAACACCACTACTCCCAACACCACTATCCTACCAGGCAAGACACGCCATCGACGATAATACGACACGTGTTTCGCCTCTACACGAGGCATCTTCAGGTGATGTAGACTCTACGGCGGCTGACCGCTAAGTGAGCGGCGAGCTTTTTTTTTTTTTTTTTGCGCCCGAAGCAAATATGGGCAACCCTCCGGAAAGCGGGGGAGGGAGGTTGAGAATGCTCATAGCATACCACGCAGCCGGCTGCGTGGTTATGTGGAGACTTTTACCCACTAAACTCAACCTTTTGGTAATTGGCTTAACGATCTGACTAGAGATCTCTAAGCCGTATACGAACACGACCCTCCTTGGCAGAAAGGAGGGCGCAACAATGGAAACAGCTGCTATTTATACACGCCGACATAATCGCTCCCCACCAAAGCAGCGAGTGACCGCGCCGTGCGATAACTAGCTACTAATTATCATTATTGTTATGATTAATATTTTTAAATACTATTATTATTATTGTTTTATTGATATTATTATAGTTATTTATTATTATTAATCTTAAAATTATTATTAAAGATTGGCCTTAAAGATGTTTAAGAAAGGTGAATTAGAAACATTTGTTTGTTCATTCAGCAGTGCATAATTACCATTATTACTTTTTAAAATCTGCAACTGCTCCAGCACACACAGCCGCAGCCCCTTATTACAAGTATGTAGAACTTCAAAGGAATGGTTGCTAGCTAGGTTGTGTCCAGTATCCAAGAGATGTTTAGCAAAATTGGATTTATCAGGATTACAATTTCTGTACGCGGCCAAATGCTCTTTATAACGCGTCCCGAAATTGCGACCAGTCTGACCCACGTTAACGGCGTGGCATTCGTCACAAATAAGTTTATAAACACCCGATTTTTGACTAATATTTAACTTATCTTTATTATTACAAATATTCCTAAGCGAATTGTTTGTTTTGAATGCCACTTTAACGCCGTTTTTCTTAAGAATATTAGCTATTTTTTCCGATATGGAGCCTAAGTAGGTCAAACTACCCACATATTGCCGGACACTTTGAGATCGAACCGCGTACAAAGAATTGCGAACAACATGCTTTTGTTTCTTTTTAATAAGATTATTAATGAGACTTTTTGAAAAACCGTTAGAGACCGCAATTTGATAAATTATATTAAGTTCTTTTAAATAATTTTCTTTACTTAATGGAACAGTGAACAGACGGTTAATGTAACAATAAAAAGCGGCTGATTTATGTCGCCATGGATGACGCGATGACGCGGGGATGACCGTGTCGGTATGAGTTGGCTTTCGATAAATTTGAAA